GTCCATGGATCTCTGCCCACATCTCGAACCGACAGCAGCTCTGCCCAACAGCCCAGAGCCCTGCGGCAAACCAGGATGGAAAACCCAGCTGGGCGCAAGCTCCCCTCCTCTTTCCAGGCCTGGTCGCTGCTGCAGGGAGCCCTGCCGACACCGCTGCCGTGCCCCGGACGAGCAGGATCCCAGCCGATGGAGAATTCCCCGAATGTTCATTTCCCACCGTTTAACAGGGTTGAGGATTCAGAAGGACACATCTGCCCAGGCAGACAGCCCCACGGCGTGTGCGGGGTCTCTCCATCGCTCCCTGGGGACACCACCGAAGTACCCACCCCGCCGACACCTTCCCCGGGCTCGGGGCTCACGTACTTGCCGCATTTCACACACTCTTCCACAAACATGTTCCCATGGAGCTCGGCCAGCTTGTCCCTGTGGGAGAAAGAGCAGAGGTGAGCTGGGGAAGGGTGGGGAGCGAAAGGGGAAAATGCCCACACCCCCCCTTCCTCACCAGGGCCCTGCACCCCCAGGGCTTCTCCGCTTTCCAGCCCTGCCAGGTGACGCAGGGTGGCAGCGACCCTCTGCCACAGCTTGGGGACAGTGCCCCAGGGAATTCTATTTGGTAGAGATAGACACAGCTGCTGCAGAGCAAGGGACGAGCGCCAGGCAGGCTGTGGGGACACTGGGTGACACAAACCAACCTGGCCTGGCTGCAGCTGGGCCAGCAGAAGACCGTTGGTCCGGCCACCGAGCGTGGGGGCTTCCCCGTGCCCAGCGTGGCCATCACACGCAGGGCAAGCAGGCGCCGGCGAAACTACAGCACGCTGAGCCCCGCTTTGGGCATTTAACACGAGAAATGCTGCTCAGAGGGAGCTCGGGCAGAGCTGTCGTCCTCACGGGGCAGGGGAGCGCAGGGGACACGCTCCGATCCTGGCGAGAGGCTTTCTGTGCCACGGTTTCATCTCCATCACGACGCTACGGCCACCGCAGCTGGGACCAAGGTGGGGGACATCACCCTGGCTTTGTAATTTTAAACGTTTCCATCCACAGCACCAGTTCTAACCCCTGTTCTGACCCAGCCTCGAATCTCTGCTCCTGTCAGACAGCTCCCAAGCCAGCCTTGGAAACCAAACCCCAGCATGAAACGCTCCCACACGAGGCCACGCTCATCGGGCAGCGAGAACAACCCCACAGCAGCGGCCAGGAAAGGCACGAGGCACCCGCAGCCGGGGCGGCAGAGGCAGTACCGTGGGAATCCGGAACGCACGTGAAGGCCATCCACGTTCTGGCTGACGAGGAATTTCAAGATGCCGACTCTCTGCAGCCCCAGCAGCGCCATGTGAGTCTTGGAGGGTCTGGCATTCTCAAAGGTGGTGTCGAATTTTGGGGAGAGCCCCTTCTCTTCCATAGTCCAGACACCATTGGGCCCCCTGCAGCAACGGGGACAAAAAGAGCGAGAATTGAGCGCTCGGGCGGCGAGAAGACAGTTGTGACCCCACCACAAGCCCGATCGATGGAGGATGAGGAAGGCATTGCTGCACCAAGGTCGCAGAGCACCACCAATTTTTGTTGTTGATGGAAGCGGAGCATGGGCACGGCTTCTGCGGGCACGGCTTTAACGTCAGACTGGCGCGCAAGAAGGAAAAGGGTGTTTCCAGCTGGATCCAGGACCAGGCAGAGGGACGGAACTGGTCTGGCTGGGCAGCGGGAAACGCTTCCCAAAGGGTGAGATGGACTGGGAGGAGGTGTCACCCTCCCAGCCCCTCGCTTGCTGCCCGCCGCCCTTACCTGAAGTCGGGAATCCCCGAGGCGGTGCTGATTCCTGCCCCCGTGTGAAACACCACGTTGGAGGAACTCCTGATCAGCTCTGCCAGCTCCTGCACCTTCCTCTCCACTTCCTCCGGCGGGTCAAAAATCTGAGAAGAGACAAACCACCGCGGGAATGGAGACAGGCAGGGATGGATCCCACACACCTCCCGGCAAAAAGACCCAAGAAAACACCATTTTTTCCTCTCCACAATGAAAACTGTAAGCAGGAAAGCAGATTTTGCATTTCTTAATGATAAAATAATTTACGAGAGAGCAGCAGCCCTGTATAATCCACCTTTCTGGGGGGCAAGGGCTGCAAACACCCGGCGCAGCCCAGACGAGGGCATTTCCCGCTCCCACCGACAGGCAGCCGACACCCCAGGATTCCTGCGTGTCCCTGTCCCCTCACCCCAAAATCTGCTTTAAGCCGGGATCAC